CCTAGGCGTTCAATTATACGCGAAGCGCCTACACGGAGAACGGCATGTGGCGGTTTTTAACTAATTTAGTCCTAGGGGTGCTTTACCACACCTTCCGTCTACCACGCCGCGGTCGTAATTTTCCTTGAATTTTTTGCGTTTGGGTTATTAACAGCGCCAATGATTTCCGTAGGTAATTTCTGACCAATTATGCTGTTTTTCACAGGTCTTGGATGAGGCGTTTCCAAAGCACACGTTTCTAATGAATGGGTTGATACAAGGTGTAAAGGGTTTTCTCTCCTTCCTCAGCGCGCCTCTTATAGGGGCGCTCTCGGACATCTTTGGCAGGAAGCCTTTCCTTTTTCTGACAGTCACTTTTACGTGTTCCCCAATTCCTTTCATAAAACTAAGCCACTGGTGGTATTTCACAATGATTAGCATTTCGGGAATTTTTTCTGTCACCTTCTCCGTAATTCTGGCATTTGTCTCTGATGTTACTACGATGGAAAATAGAACCTGGGCTTACGGACTTGTAAGCTAACACTTCTTTAATGTTATTTTGCACTGTTTATATTTGCTAGTTTCCTTCTGGTTGGAGGATTCTTTGGAACGAATTGTGCTGATTACAAACTTTAATTAGGTTACAATGGTCTAGAAGGTTTTGTCAATGAGTTTAGTTTCGAAGTTTGGGATACATCTGATTGTTTTGTCTGCTAATCGTTTCCTTACCTTTAGTGGCTTTGAACTTAATTCTGAATCGCATTTCTTGCTTGCAGGTAATAGCTGAAATGGGTGTAGCCATTAATTTCTCTGCCTGATATTTGAGCCTTAGTGAATAGTTTATGGGGTCAGTTATTCATCTAATCCGTTTCATTTGATAAATATTATGAGCATGAAAACTTACTTGGCCTCTCCTACATCAATGGATTCAATCATTCCAGATAAGTAACTTGATTTAAACAGCAAGCACGAGTACGATTTTAACTGTAAAGCCACTGGTTATCTCATATGAAAGCTAGGATCTTCCAGTCTTATGATTAATTTAGCCTTTGAATAGCAAAAACTGGAAACTTTCTTGATAGATAAGCCCAGCCGAATTTTAAACTCCTTTTTGCACGAATAACGATACGGAGCTTCATTCTCTAAGTGTCACCAAAGCACATCTATTGTTGCTGCTCTGTAAGTCCAGTTGGTAACCTGTACAACACTAGTTCTTAATCTTGGGATTTTAAGGACGTTTTATTTACCAAGGATTTCATGCTGAAAACCTTGCGGTAACCATGTCTATCCGTAAGACCAATCACATTCGATGATTAATATTAAATAACTCTGTGATGATGGGCTTCGGCAAACATTTAAGCTTTAACTTCCTCTTCTTATTGTTACCTCTTCAGGTATCTGCAACATTTGCGGCCAGTCTCATCATTTCACCCTCCTTAGGCGCCTTTCTGGAGAAGGCGTATAGTGAAAACTTCGTCATCACTCTAGCATCTCTCATAGCCCTTTCCGATGTTCTCTTTGTCTTCTTCTGCGTTCCTGAGTCCCTTGATACTTGCGTTAACAGTGTTGGCGCCGGTGGCTTTGGCTGCGGTAGCTGCGCCTCCTGTGGGGCTTTAAAGCATCTATCTCTCGCGGCACCTTCCTCCCCCTCTAGCCAATCAATTTGCGGTAACGCGAATGAACAGCCAAATGTGGAACGAAGCTGGTCTATCACCTGGGACAAGGTTGACCCATTCGGCGTGAGTGCTGCTGCCTTAAATTCATAAAATAACCCCTTAGATTCCCATCCCGTCTGCAAAGTTTGGTGTTTGGACATCTTAAACAGTGAAAGTGAGACTACTTTGTTTGTGAAACTACTTTCTCCATCATCAATGGAAAGGAGGAGGGGAGGTGCATTTTGGTTGCTTTACAAACGCTTTTAACAGGA